CTTTGCGCCTTTCCTGGAACTCGCTCTGTAGCCCAGGCTGGCCTCGAACTCACAGAGATCCGCCTGGCTCTGCCTCCCAAGTGCTGGGATTAAAGGCGTGGGCGTCACCACCGCCTGAGCCCTTTTTTTAAAAATTACTTTCCTTCCTTTTTGAAACAAGGTTTCACTCTGTAGCTCAGGTTGCCCTGGAACCTACTTCTTAGTTCAGGCTGAACTTAGACTTGTCTTTGAAGTTTTTGTTACATTTTACTAATTGGGGGGGGGAGGGCGGGTCACGAACCTTCAACAGTGCCCACCTGGAGGAGGTAAGAGGACAGACTGGGATTCTTCCATCACAGGGAGCTGGAGTTCAAGGATCAAATTCAGGTGCAGGCTTGAAGGCAGGTACCGCTGCCTCTTTTTTGCTTTGTTTTTGTTGTTTGGAGGCAGGGTTTCTCTGTGTAGCACTAGCTGGCCTTCAATTCAGAGACCCGCCTACCTCTGCCTCCTCCAGTGCTGGCATTATAAAGGTGTGCGCCACCACTGCCCGGCGAATGTTTGTGATTTGAAAATGACTTTCTGGTGGGGTGGCAGCTCACCTCTGCGATCCCACTACTCAAGAGGCTCAGTAGCAGGGTCATCATGAATTTGGGGCTCCCCCACACTGCCCATTGAGTTTTCCGCCAGCCTAAGCTACAGGATGAAACTTCTGTCTAATCGACAAACTACATAAATACTTCCGTGCCTGCCCTGGCTTCCACCTGTCATACCGGCACTTGGGATGTGGAGGCTGGAGAATCAACGTCAGCCTAGGTTACACACTGAGTTTAGGTCAAACCTAGTTACATGTGACCCTGCCTCAAAAAGAAAGACTATAAGGGGCCGAGGAGACGATTTAGTAAAATGCCTACTGTGTAGACCCTGAGTTCGATTCCCAGAACCTAAGTGCCAGGTCTCAAACCTGGAACAAACGGCTGAGGTGCCTATTTGATGAATCAAAGTGGACACTGGCCACCGTGCATCCCTCAGTCCCTACCTGTTACAGGGCCCTCCAGGGTGGCACACCCACGCCCACCCTAACCTTCTCCAGCCAGAACTACAGAGAAACCCTGTCTTGGGGGTCAGGGTGGGGAGAATAAGGGTGGGAGAATACACAGTTCTAACCATGAGCCTCTTTATCTTTCTCGTTCTACATCTTGAAAAATGGCTCCACAGAGCCAATTTGCATCTCCTGACCCAACGAAAATCCATGAAGGTTATCATCACACCCAAAACAGGAAACAAACAAACAAGCAAAAATCCAGAGACAGTTTGACCAAATTCATGTAGCAGGGACCACTAATCCAAATTCATAATCTTTTCTTTTTTAAAGAGGTCTGACTGGTACCCCTGGCTGGCCTGGTACTTAGAAATCTACCTGCCTTTTCTGACTGTTGAGATTCAAGTTGGTGTGCAGTGCATCACCACACTGGATTTTTTATTGCGATAGATCCACATGAGTCTGTTTAAGGGGGTAACAAGGACTTGTTATAGTAATAAAAGGGAAGATACATTTACGAACACAGGACCAGGTGAACAGTCACTGTTCATTCTACCAGGGAGTGAATCGACTCAGTCCTCTGAACCCACCCCAAGAAGAAAAAAGGAAGGTAGGAGGAGGAAGCTGTGACCCCCCACCCCCCTTTTTTTTGGAGACAGGGTTTCTCTATGTAGCTTTGCGCCTTTGAACTCACAGAGATCCACCTGCCTCTGCCTCCCTGTGCTGGGATTAAAGGCGTGCGCCACCACCTCCCGGCCCCACCCCTCCTTTTAAGCATGCTGTAAGGCTTATACCTCAAAGCTAATTGGTGGAACAAATTTCCACTACATTTCCCCTTTCTGTCTAAATAAGAAGGTTCTAAATGTAATATAAAACTATAGGGGCTGGAGGGATGGCTCAGTGGTTAAGAGCATTGACTGCTCTTCCAGAGGTCCTGAGTTCAATTCCCAGCAACCACAAGGTGGCTCACAACCACCAGTAATGAGATCTGGTGCCCTCTTCTGGCCTGCAAGGACACATGCAGACAGAACACTGTATACTTAATAAATAAAAATAAATCTTAAAAAGAAAAAAGTTCTTTAAAAAAAAAGTATTATATTTATGGGGTTGGGGATTTAG